TGTTGAAACTTAAAACTTACCCGCAATAGGTATATTTTGGTAAAGGTTCAATATCTATTTGAAAAGAATGTATATTCTGCTCTTGTTGGGTGCAGTATTCTATAAACCTTAATTAAGTCCAGTTAATTAATAACACTGTTAAAGTAATCTGTAACCTTGCTTATTTTTTGTCTACTTATTCAGTTAATTACTGAGAGAGGAGTATTGAAATTTCTGATTATAATTGTGGTTTTGTCTCTGTTTGCTTGCAGTTCTATCCATTTTGGCTTCATGTATTAGAAGCTCTGTTATTTGGTGCATACATATTTAGAAGTATTATGTCTGCTTCTTGAATTGACCCTTTAACATTATGAAGTGATCTTCTTTATGTCCAGTGATATTCTTTGCTCTGAAACCTACTGCCTAATATTAATATAGCCACTCTGGCTTTCTTTTGACTTTTGACTAGTATTACTCGGTATATCTGTTTCCATCTTTTTACTTTTAACCCATTTGTAGCTTTATATTTAAATACATTTATGATAAGCCACATATACTTGGGTGTACCATATTTATCCAATCTGACACACTCTGCCTTTTAATTGGGGGTGTTTAGACCCTTTTCACTTAGTACAAGTACTAATATAGTTAGATTTAAATGTTATTTTGATTTTTGTTTTATGATTTTTCCATCTATTCTTTGTTCCCCTTTTCATCTTTTTCTGCCTCCCTTTGGATTAAATGATTACATTTTATTTTCTATTTTATCTCCTTTATTGAATTATTAGCTGTAACTCTTTGTTTAGTTGTTTTAGGGGTTGCTTTATGTTTTATAGTGTACATCTTTAACTTATCATAGTCTGTTCTCAAGTTATGTACCACGTTATCTGTACTATAAAAACCTTACAGTAGTATACTGTCCATTACTCCCCTCCCTGTCTTTATGCTATTGTTGTCCTATATTTTACTTATACATATGTTACAAACCCCACTAAATTTATTTGTTTGACCAGTGGATTATATTTTAAGTTAAATAATTTTTAAAATCTTATACATTTGCCTATATAGGTACAATTTCTGCTTTTCATTATTCCTTTCTGTAGATCCATATTTCCATCTAGTATCATTTTTCTTCTGCCTGAAGGACTTTCTTTCCACTTCTTATAGTGAAGATATGCTGGTGATGAATTCTTTCAGCTTTTGAATTCCTGGAAACTTCTAGTTCACCGTTTCCCCCTAAAATATGTTTTAACTGGTTATACAATTCTAGGTTGACAGTATTTTTTTTCATTTTAGTTCTTTAAAGTTGTCACTCCACTATTTTCTGATTTGCATATTCCTCACAAGAAATATGCTATCATCTTTATCTTTATTTGTATATAACGTGTCATTTTTATTTTTCCTCTGGGTTTTTTTCCTCTGGGTTCTTTTTGTTTATCATTGCTTCGGGCAATTTGATTAGATTATTATGTGCCTTGTAGTTTTCTTCATGTTTCTTGTGCTTGGAATTTGTTGAAATTTTGTGATCTGTGGCTTAATATATTTCATTAAATTTGAAAACATTTCAACCATTATTTCTTCAAATATTTTTTCTGCTTCACCCTCTCTTCTGTCCTTTGGAGTTCCGATTACGTATATTAAACTACTTAAATTTGCCCCACAGCTCACTTGCTAGTGTTCTTGTTATTTATTTCTATTCTTCTTCCTCTCTCTGTCTTATTTTGGATAGTTTCTATTGCTTTGTCTTCAAGTTCACTAATCATTTTTTTTCCTGCAGTGTATACTCTGCAGTCAGTCCTATCCAATGTATTTTTTTTCTCTCAGACACTATAGTATTCATCTTTAGAAGTTTGGTTTGGGACTTTAAAAATATCTTTTGTATCTCTATTCAACTTTTAAAATACATATAGTAAATGCCATTATGAAAACTATATTTATTCCTTTGTCGGCTAATTCTAACATCTGAGTCAGGTTTAGATTGAGTTCAATTGATTTTTCTCCTCATGGGTTGTATTTCAATTCTTTGCATGTCTGGTAATCTTTGATTGTATACCAGGTATTTTGAATTTTACCTTTTCAGGATCTGACAGGTTTTTTATTCCTTTCCTATAAATATTTTTGAGTTGTGTTCTGGGACATAGTTGCTTTTTAAAAAATCCTCACCTGAGGATGTGTTTTTATTGCTTTTTAGGAAGAGAGTAAGAATGAGGGAGAGAAGAGAGGGAGAGGGAGAGGGGGAGGGGGAGAGGAGGGGGAGGGAGAGGGAGAGGGAGAGGGAGAGGGAAAAGGGGAGGGAGAGGGAGAGGGAGAGGGAGAGGGAAAAGGGGAGGGAGAGGGAAAGGGAGAGGGAGAGGGAGAGGGAGAGGGAGAGGGAGAGGGAGAGGGAGATTGGTTGCCTCCCGTATGCGACCTGACTGGGGATCAAACCTGCAACCTAGGTCTGTACCCTGACTGGGAATCGAACCCAAAATTTTCTGGTGTACAGGAGACGATGCTCTAACCAACTGAGCTACCTAGCCAGGGCTATAGTTAAGATTTTGAAATAATTTGATATTTGGGGTCTTGCTTTTAAGATTTGTTAGGCAGAACCAGAGTAACATTTAGTTTAGGGCTAATTATTCTCCACTACTGATACAAGAGCTATCTGGGGACTCTACCCAGTACCCTGTAAATTATGGGTTTTCTGGTTTGACTGGTAGGAACAGATGCTGTTCCTAGCCCGGAATGAACACTGGTCTAGTCCCCTCCAGTTCTCTCAGGTGGTTCTTCTCCTAACCTCAAATAGTTTCCTCATAAACATGCACCAATCAGTACTCTGTAGACTACTCCAGAATCCACAGTTCTTTGAAATTCTCTCCTGTATAGCGATCTCCATTCTCATACACTCTACTGGGAACTACAGTTGCCTTAGTTTCCTTGGACTCTCAGCAGCATCTCCTTAGCTCAGGGAGTCCACCTGCTCCCCCCTTTGTTCTCCCTCCTTGTGCTCTGGCCTAGAAGCTCTCGCAAGGTGGTGTCATGAGGCAATGGTAGGGCTCACTTCATCCCCTCCCCAAAGATCGTTGTTCTTTGTTGCCAATTTTCAGTACTTTGAAAATGATTGTTTTATATATTTTGCATAGTTTTTTGGGTGGAGGGAGTTGTTTCAGGCAGTAGGGTAAATGAGATCCTTGTTACTCCATTTTTGCCAAAAGCAGATATCCTCAGAAAGTACTTTAAGTGGCCTGAATGTCTGGCTGAACTACACATTCCATTCAGAGAACAACTTAATATAGGAGCCTCTATTTCTTGAGTGCCTTCTGTGTGCCAGGCACTGTGCCAGGTACATTCATACAGGATTCATTTCGACAATATATTATTGAACAGCTACTGTGTGTCAGGGACTGTTCTAGGCAATGAAAATAGAACATGGCACAAAACAGATTTTTTTAAAAAAAAATCTTTGTTTCTATGGTGCTTATCTTCTACCTAAGAAAGAAAGAATAACCAAAATTAATAATTTAGCTATATAGCACATTAAAGGGTAATAACTGCTATAGAAAAACAAAGCGCAGGTTAAGGGGCTCTGGAGTACTGGAGTGGAAATTAATGATTGCAGTTTGAAGCAGAATGGTCAGGGTAGCCTTGCTTGAGAAGGTAACATGTTTGAGCAAAGACTTGAAGGAGGTGAGGGATAGAGCCATGGGGTTGTATGAAGAAGAGCATTCACACAGAGGAAGCAGCCAATTTAAAGACCTAAGGCAGAAGCATGCCTGGTGTATTAAAGAAATCATGAAGAGATCAGTGCTGCTAGAGCAAAGACCAAGGGGAGAGTAATAGGAAATGAGGTCAGCTTGATAACTGGATTGAATAGGGTCTTATAGGTCATTGTAAAGACTTTGGCTTTTACTATGAGTGAGGAGAGGAACCATTACAAGATAGTAAGAAGAGAAGGTTTGTGATTTGAAATATGTTTTGAAAGGATAATCTGGCTGCTCTCTTGAGCAGAGATTATAGGGTGTGGGGTGGAAGTAGGGGGACCAATTAGCAGACTGAATTAAATCAGACGAGAGTTGATAATAGTTTTTTCCAGGGTGGAGCAGTAGAGATAGAGAGAAGGTGGATTTTGACATATTTCAAAGGTAAAACTAACTACATTTCCTGGCATATACACTGTGGGTGTAATAGTAAAAGAAGAGACAAGGATATAGTCAGGGTTTTTGGCCAGAGCAACTGGAAAGATGGAATTAGCGGATGAGAAAGACTGCGAATGAAATGAATTGGGGAAAGATGATGAGTTTAATATTGAACATATTAAGCTTGAGATAGATGTCTGTTAGATATACAAATACAAGTATTAAAGTAGGAAGTTGAACATATGAATCTGGAGTTCATGGGAGAGTTCTGGGTTGATAGGTCAAATACGATGAAGACTAAGAACTGACCCGAACTGAGCAAAGTTGAGGTCGTTCGTGAATTTAAACCTGACCCTCTTTTGGAGACTAAGTGTCAGGATGGATGACTTTTTAAATGTGCCTTAAAACTGAGAACCACTGCGTGAAAGTCTTTTCTTCCATCCTGCCAGAATGCTCATTTCATTAATAAGAAATGCAACTGACATACCAGGCAAAATAGATATACACCAAGTTTCACATCATTTATTTTTATAAATTCATATTTCAGTCAGATGGGGAATACTTTGATTTTAATGCATACCTTATTGATGTTAAGAGTCTAGACTTGTTCTAATGACTATGGTAAAGATAAGACATTTTTCCCTATTTTGTCTCCAAAAACATATAAAAACTAGCAAAAGCTTAACTATTGTATTCAAATGGAGAATTCTTCCTCTTCTAGATTTGAAGACTAAATAAAATGTGGGACAGTTACATTCTACTTTTTTATTATACCTTTTGAAATAATTTGTATATGCCTTTTAAATAATTTCAAGTGCCACACAAAATAATGTTAATAGCTCAAAATCAAAAGTAAAAAAAAAAACCACCCTAAGTATAATTTTTAAAAATCTTTTTCTCCTCAAGCGTTTTACGATGGGATAATGAGACAGATGTCTCTCAACTGGAAGGACATTTTGACATGGTTATGTGTGCTGACTGGTAAGTACATAAAAATCGTAAAACTCCTGTTAGAAAAAATAGCTTTGCTGGAGTAATTGGGCTGTACTGCTTTGCTGACGGCTAAGCAAAGTCAACAAATGAAGCACAAAGCCACCTTAACCTCAACAAATTAATATTCATCTCCATGTGACAGTTATAAGGTAGTCTTCTATCACACAGTAACTTCTACCACATTATTTCCCAAAGATTGATTTTGAGAAGCATTTCCATTTTCTGGAATTGCCTCTGTTTCATGCTTGACGTATCAGTAAATGGACGACTTAGGCAAATTGCAAATAATTATGGCTCGGAGAGGAATAGTCTGGAGAAAAAGGAGTTTATCAACACAAACAGCTCAATTAGCTTACTTCTTAGGAGAGATCTGACTATTGATATAAGGGAATATATGTATGTGTGCACACATATACACGCTTCAGCAAATAAACATATCTATGGAATATCTTCAGGGAAATAGCTTTTCTTAAAACGTATGTTTGCTATCTAATATTTTCAATGTATTCAATTATGATATTTAATTATACATAAAACAAAAATTATAAAATTACATTTTATTGTTATGCAAATAATAATATTAAAATCTCTGTCAGATGCCTGCTTTTAAAAAATAATTTACATATTTAGTCTTCTCTTTTAGTCCAATCTACTTATTGTTAATGACAGTCTGACCCTAAGTTATAGGATAAATACGTATCAAATCTTAATAATGATTTCGACTAATCTTATGTTATTTTCTTCATGCGTGTTGAATAATAATTGTTTCAGCATATGGGAAATGTTGACAATTCACAAGTGTTTTTCCTGTTAAAAGTAAGATCTTATTTGTATTTTTATCATGATTTTTTTATGACATTTTATATTTGAAAACATAAGTTCAGATTTTAAAGATCTATTATATTAATAAGCTCAATCATAAGACCCAGGGAAGACTTTCCCTATCAGAGAGCTGAATGAATGGGATGAAATTTTTGGGAAGTCTTTGTTATTATCATCATCATCATTATTATTATTATTTAATAGACTTTTTAATGGGTAACTTTTCTACTTACGTCAATGAAATTAGATTTGCTTTTTTTTTTTTTCTTCTGATAAATACTTTAATAAAAAATAAATATTTTGTTTTAGTTTTAGCTAGAGAGTTTCTAGTTTTCCATAGCCCTTTTAGTCTCTTGGAACCCAGTTTCAGAAAACCTGTTCCAAAGAAGGGAGAAATTTCTGATTAATCATTGATATTGTGTCTCAATATTACATCCATCATCTAATAAAAAATAAGGAACTAAAATCTCACCATATGATTTGAGCAAGCAATTTGTAAATGCCTTTCCTCACCAAATATGAGAAAAGATCCTCCAGGTTTCATTGCACAGATGAAGATAATGCTGGCAGGATTAGATCAGATTAAGCATGAAAGTCAGATCAGAGAGCAGCAGAGAGGGAAGGAGGGCAGCACCTTCCTGGAGGTTTAGACAAGGGTGGCACATGGATGGGCTCTGATTAGGTACGGAAAGTCAGGTCTGGCCAAGAGATTTAGGTTAAACTTGTCCTTTGCACAAATATCAAAACAGCCTGTCTTTGTCATCCTTGTGTTATAGACACTCATACCATGTCATCCTATTTGTACCAGAGAGACAAGCAGAGGGAGTAAGATGTAAGCTCTTTTCTGATTAATGTTCTCAGTAAGGTTAAAAATAGCCACACAACATGTTTAGAAAATAGTCTCTTTTTTTGCCTAGCCAACAACAGGATCATGTACAACTGGTATACATGATGCACATTCACTGAACATTTTCATTACAAATATAGAATGCAATGCAGTGTACATATACACACACACACATACACATACATACACACACCTAGTGGCTCTGAGAATTTATGAATTCAAATGAACTAAATATACCAAGTTTCATTTTATAAATGGCTTTCCTATGCATGAATTAAGTTTTTTGTCCCCCTTGTGTTCTAAGTACCAGAATGTCAGCCTGTTTATAATTTCCCATTAGGAAATGTGAAACATTAAGCTACTCTCACTGCGATGCTGATATTATTTCCAAAAGAAATGCGTTGGTAATGGTCTCCCTTCATATTCACAGGGATGGGTAAGCTGCTTAGAAACTTAGAAAGTGCAGTGATGTTTATAATATGTATGTTGTGCTTACAGCAGTGGAGCACAGGGTTCCGGGAGTTCTTATGTCGGTGGGTTTGGCGTCTCTCTAGCAGAGTGACTGCTGGATGCTGCTTCCAGGGCGGCAGGCTGACGGTGCGGCTTTTCTTTTCCCCTCTTCTTTCCCCGAATGTCACAGAGGAGGAAAAGAAAGCTCCCTTTAAACACTACCTCCAAGATGAAACCTGAAATACTCAGTGCCAAAAATAGGTGCCACACATAAATAGATCACTTAAGTCTCACCCCATCCTTTAGTCCTTGTCAATGAGATCTGGATTAGGCCACAGGAATATGAAACAGGAGTCAGAGTTCAAATATTAGGTACATGGATTACATTCTTATTGAAGCCTTTCCAGCAAGGGTGGCATTGTCTGATTCCCTGAATAGCTAACCAGTAGTACTGCTTGATCCCATTTACATGAAAACAAGCTCTATTCACAAACCTATTCCAAACCCACATTGTGTTCAAGTAAAATGCACACGATTACAACAAGTGGTGATATGTTTATGTTCTTAAATCATTCATATATTCATATATTTACATTCAAACAGTCCTAAACCTGTGGGCACTGGGGAAAATAACTTATTTCCCAGAAGAGACAGTCTCTTGGTTCACATCTGAATTATTAGCTCACCTAGATTATAAAATAAAACAGCAAACTGTGAAAGCTAGTCATTATTTCAGCATTCAGCATTTTTGACAATGAAATATAGTTTCATGGTTCAACAGTTCCTAAATAACTTGTAAAATGTCAACTTTGAAATAAACAGAAGGGAAAATCGAGGTATAGTCACACCTGCAAAAGGATGCTGTGGACAAATATCAAAATATTAGAATATTTAAGCGCAGGTGTAGAAAAAAGCTACCTATTAAGTTCCTTTGTTGACTTGTTAAATGTCGAATTTAATATGAGTTCCTTGGGGCTGGAATGCAGTCCAGCCCAGTCCTTGTTCAGTTTAGAATAGTAAGTGATTGTTAATTTTAAGTCTGCCTTTCCAGACTGCTGTTCAATCACAATAATCTAAGAGTCTGGAAATAAGTTTTTTGTTTTGATTTTTGTTTTTTGGATCCAATGAACATTTTCATTTAGTGTTTGATGGCTTTCCAGTTCATTGTAGTTCTGCAAAAATAAAAATAATTCTGTACATTTGGACTCCCTAAAGGCTTAGGAGGTGAGTCTGAAATGCCATTCCTAGTCCGACGCAAGGAGCTCAGGCTGTAGGACAGTCAGCAGCCCCTGTGCACACCGGCAGCCTGAGACTGAAAGCAACGCTCTCAGCATTTTCACTGTGTACAGTGAATTGTTTCTATTTTCTGTTATTTTTACTTTGCTCTTGATTTTTTTTTTAAGTTTGGTTTTTATGAAATTTTTTTTTCTCAAAATAGCCTCTAGAATTTCTTTGTTTTCTTTCTGATACTGTAATCATGGATATTTCTAAATCATGACTCAAATAACTTTACACTGAAAAGATCTTTAATCCGAATGTGGTCAGCCCTTTCCCCTCACTCCCGAGGAAACTCAGTCCCAAAGAAGATGTACAAATTGCCAATGTCTTGCCACCTAAGGGACAGAGCCAAGTGAGATCAGAATAGGGCATCATGCCAGCTTCCACAACTATCAGCTGATGACTGTTGATAGAGACCATTCTTCCACTGAAAGGTAATCTGAAACAGTGAATTTAACTTAGCACAGTTCACCTTGAAAATTACATAGAGGTTCTTCCTTTCTGCGACAGAAAAGTGTCTCCTGTTCCCCGCACTAATTAATTTCCCTATGAGAGGAGCAATAAAGTCCCTGTGCTCTGCACAAACCCGACTGATCCTAAGGGGGGGGGGGGGGATGAAAGTGGCTTGGAACCTTTCCTTTGTCATAAAACCTGTGATTCAGATCCATGGAACAAAGCAGGTGTTGATTCCACTAGTAAATTATGTAGAGGGGTGTGTGTGTGTGTGTGTGTGTGTGTGTGTGTGTTATAATGGCCAAACTAGACTGACTGTCGATGCATTTTGATCAGTAGCTGAAGGGAGAGTTGAAATGGTATCTCCATCCCAATCACTGACCCACTCAGCCTTTTTAAATAGATCCACTTAAGCTACTGCTGTTCTCTGAGCCCATTAGGACTATTTAAGGGGTGAATTTTCAGGAGATTATATATCACTCCTACTAAAGCACATTGAAATTGCTCATAGGATGTATCCTACAAAGCATTATAAATTCTGCATCAGAGCTAAGGAGAAAGGTGAGCTTGCTTGGAATAAAGACCACTTAGAGAACTGCAAGAATCACTTTTGGGAAAGTTGATTTGGACTGATGGAGTAGACAACGTTACCTTTCAGATAACCATATTTGGAATGTATACTTTGTTTTAAGCTGCATTTTCCAATAAGCTATGATGTTAATTAAGATCTTTGTCACCATTACCAACATTAAGTAGAAATAGTACTTTGTAAGGTTATTTTAAACTCAGCTTTTAAGATGCTGTTTATTTATTCTAACGATCTTACCAGCTCTTAGGATGCACGGGTATAAACCGAGCATGGTCTTTTGCTTAACGCTATGTATCCCAACCAGCCCGGCTCTCCATAGGCCTGGGTACCTGACTGACATATTTTCCCACAAAGATAGTCTTCTTAAAAAACAAAACCAGAATGCTTAATTCTTACAACTTAAAATATTACCTCACTAAAGAATAAGGTATATGGTCCTGAAGAGAAAAATTTTAAGACATGTAGACACAATTTCATTTCTTTCTTATCAATCCTTAATGGTTATCAATGACTGATGAATATAACTTAAAGGCACATTTTTATAGCATTTGAATTAGCATTCTGTGCTCTACGATTTAAGCATATTTTTTATGGAACTATAAGAAAATGTTCCCGTGGGTGGTAATCAGGTTATTCTGATTGATGGGAGGAATGGGATAAGGTTCCCACTCCAGACATGATTTCAAGCTCATCTTTTTTTGTTATTGTTGTTAATCCTCACCTGAGGATATTTTTCCATTGACTTTTTAGATAGAGTGGAAGGGAGGGAGGGAGGGAGAGAGACACACATTGATTAGTTGCCTCCTACACAACCCAGATTGGGGTTGGGGACGAACCTGCAACCCAGGTACATGTCCTTGACAGGAAATCAAACCCAAGACCCTTCAGTTCGTGGGCCAACGCTCTAACCACTGAGCCAAGCTGGACAGGGCTCTAGCTCATCTTAAGAGTATTCTTTTCCCAGCACTCAAAGCATCCTTTTATAGAGCCTTCTGCTGATCATGTCCGGGGAAACCCAAGCACTGACTTCTTGGCAACTTCTCATAAACTACTCTCCCCACTTCCTCTCGAATGAGAGAATTGGAAGAGAACCTAGTCTAGTGAAACCTGCTACCTAAATGTTGATTCTTCCTTACCAATACTGGTACAACCTGTTTTAGGGTCATTGAAACTAACACCCTACATAAGCTAAGCTCCTCAATTTCCAGGACCCTGTTGACCTGCCAGTCAGGCAGTAAACAACTGTTTAGTGAGTCTCTATGTGTACCTGCTGTGCTGGAACTAGTGATGCATAAATGAAAAGACTGCAGGCTCCTTGCGGATGGGAACCTTATCTTATTCATAGCTTATTTCTAATGCCTAAACCCGCCCCTAGTGTGTAGTAGATGATAATAAACATTTGTCAACTAACATATTTATTAATTTGATTCCAGTACAAACAGGTGGGCCTTTATTGATAAAGGCACAGAGGCCTCATGTGAAGTGACTCATCCAAGGTGACAGAGCAGGCAGGTCAGAGCCAGAGCTCTATTAAACCGTGAACTCTCTGCCCTTGCCTGAAGTGTGGCTCCACACAGCAGCGTCCTACTGATAGCTGCCACTTCCCCTTAGCTCCAAGAAGGCGAGGCAGGGCGCTAGAATAGGCAGTACTTACCGTGCTAAGTGAGGAGCAGGGAGGCCAATCAGAGGGGCCTACCCCAAACTGCAGCACTGGAAAGGGGCACAGGGCCCCCCTAAGGCTCCTCATGGGATAGCTGATGCTCAAGACTGCCCAGTGTTCTAGCCTGTGAGTCTCAGATGAGCAAACTCTGTCCCAAGCTTCCAAGATAAGGCCTAATGAAGACAGGGTCAGACTGACCCAGCCAAAGGGATGACAGAGCAGCAACAGAATCTCTCAAAAAAACCGGAGGATAAAAAAATCAACATGGGGATGAAGGGGAGAGGGGGACCTAGCGCTGCCTTGGTCTCTCTGACACATTGCCTAAACCTTATTTTTGTTTTTGGAACCATTTAGGCCTACGTCACTGGTTGAATCTAACCTCAGTGCTGTTCCTAGTCACTAAAACCATTACCACCTGAGACCGTTCTGTGGTCTGAGTATAACAGGGCTGGTGGTTTGTTTTTGGAGGGTGGTCTCACAGCAGTGTGCAGAGCGCCCAGGTCTACAGAGACCAAGCTCCAATGACAGGAAGTGCTGGGAGAGCTTCATCTCAGCCAAATGATTCCCCCAAACGGAAGCATAGAAACCGTCCCTTTAACAATAACATCTGGCCCAGCTGTGTGTGAATCCTGGCCCATTGCGTGTTGATGACTTGGCTTTGGTTGCAATACCACTGACCACAATATCTTTTCTTTCTTTTTTCTTTTTGTCCAGTAAGACATTTGAATAGAAAGAAACAATTTCTCTTCTTTTAGTGTCGAGTAAATATGTGTCATTAGCCCTGTACTTATCTCCGTTAGTATCATTAGACTTGAAAACCGAGTTTAATCTGGATGCTGCTCTCTTCTCAATGTCAGCCTGTTTCTGGACCAGTACAGAGCCAGCCTTGTTGATGCAATAAAGAGATTACTCCAGCCCAGGGTAAGTATGTTTCTATTTTCTCCTGAACACTGGCTTCAGAATAATTAGTCTGTGCACAAAGATGGAGAGAGTAATGGAATGGCAGGATTAATGTCATGTAATACTTTAATACTTATTATGTCCAACTTCAATTGGGTCTTCTGATCTATCAGATTCTTTTCTAATCATAACTAGGAAACTTCTTACCCTTGGCCTTCTGATAAGAAACACAGTGGGTAGTAAAATAAATGAAACCGCTTCAAAGATAGCGTGAGATTATTTTTATCAAAGAATTTCTTGAGTCTTTTCCTTTGATAACAATATCTTCATATTAAAGTAGAAGTATGATATTGAAAGTTTCTGTTGACTTCTGTCATTTTAAATCCCTGCAATGGTAACCTTTGTTATTGGGTATTTATTTATTGCAAATTTTTTTTTCTCTCTATTTCTGTTTATATTAAAGAAAAAGGACTTCAGATGAATCTGTATATTAAAAGTTCTTTGCTTTAAAAGGAAGCCATTATTTACATATTATAAACATTAGGACACAATGAAGCCAAGCATGGCATAAAAATTGTGCACATTTTTACATTTATGTATCCATTTATGCCTGAGAGTAAATTACAGAGTTTGTATCCACTCTTATTTTGTTGGGCTGTTATACTAAGCTAGGAGGTCTTGCAGCCTAAACAGAGAGTTAATATACGTCTATTTAAAGTAAGAAAACAAGTTTAAAACTCATGCATTAAAAAAAAAAAATCTTACAAGTATGTAAGGCTCTCACTGTACCATCAAATTTAAAATAGGTCAACAATGTTAGTGCAGTCCAACAAAGGAACTCACACTTATTTCAGAAAAGACTGCAGTGTGTGTGTGTGTGTGTGTGTGTGTGTGTGTGTGTGTGAAGTATTTTCTAAAGTTTGGTTTCTGAGGTCTTTTTAAAAAGAGGGTTTGCTCCAGTCTTCTGACCTCAGTGAGACTTATAGATTAATACCTTTCAATATTTCTTTTATATCTGTTTTCACATTGAAGGTTCCCAGAGCAATTTGATAATCATCCTTTGCCTTTACACTGTTGCTTTTTATTTTGTTATCTCTATATAGCTCAGAAACTTTAAATAGGCCTCTTAGTGGAGTAACCACAGCTTTGTAAGTGGTAATCAATTAAAGTAAATTGGCCTTCTCAGTTCTCTCGGTGAGGTGGGTAGTAGGTCCTGAGGCAAGGACGGGGCACGCTCCGAGCTATTGATGGCTGCTGCCCTGGTTGGCTAAGCAGCCTGAGTTGAGGGTAGAAAAAGGGATCTGGGGCCTCTTCATCTCCCGTGTGAGCCATGGGTGATTCCTATGAGCATTTGCAAGATCAGGATTTTCAGAGAGGCCACTGAGACTCTTGGGTGTACAGGCCTCCATGAAAATGTGTCATACATAAATACAATGCTTTCAAGGACTCCTGGATCTCACACTGAACAAACAGTACTTCACTCATCACCAACACCCCTTCAGAGCCTATTTGTGGCAAATACTCCATTTTGCAGCAGATTTGCATGATTTACCCAGGATCTATTGTAAATCATTCTCATGATTTACAATAGAAAACTGCCCAAGCTATGAATAGACCTAAATGCAGATTGGACTGGAATCTCTAGCAGCTCTCCTGTACCCGCTATTAAACCCCGAACCACACTCCCTCCTTGCCTGAAGTGTGGCTCCACACAGCAGCCCCCCTGAGCGAAGGCAGCAGCCCCCCTACTGACAGCTGACACTCACCCTTAGCTCTGAGAAGGATGAGGCCAGGCCCTAGAGTAGAGGTGTTACTTATGCTATGTGAGGAGCAGGGAGGCTAGGTCAGAGGGGCCTGGGCCAGTCTGCAGCATTGGAAATGGGAGTAGGGCCTGGCTTGCGCCTCACTCACAAGGCTGCCGGGTATTCTAGCCTAAGGGGTGAGGGGTCCACTGAAAGGGGGGAAATCCAAGTTGTGGATGGCACTTGGACATTCCGAATTACCACCCAGGAGACTCATCCCCTCGGGAAGGTCTGGGAGACACAGCACTTGCACTTCCTAGGCCTCTACCCAGGTGGACCCTAGAAGGGCCATGTGGACTGGCAGTGACCAGCAGCTCCACATCCTGTGCCAGTGTGCTAGCAGGGTTCCCAGAGCTTGGGGGTAACCAGAGGAAAACTGCACTGTTCTTCTTAGCTCTCAGGGCTGGCTGTCCTGCTTCCAGAGGAGCACCCTGTGAGGGTATGTGGTGTGGAAGTCACAGTCCAAAACCAAGGTAATAGCAAAGGTTTTACTTCTGCAATTAGAGCTGCTTTTAGTATTTTCTTGAGTGCAGACAATCCTCCATGGTTCTGTGTCCAGAGGTCTGAAGGTGCCACACAGGCCTTCAGAGAAACAACTTGGGGCTATGCTGGTGGATCCTGAGTTCTTCACTGTTCAAGGCCTGACAAATTCATTGACAGATACAGGTTCTCCGGGTGCTCAGCAAAAACAGCACTCGAGCCAAATGCTTCAAATTCCTGGAGGGGGTTGGGGGATGCCGTTTCTGAAGGTCAAGTGTAGTGGATGGAGTCTGAAGTATCTTCATTCAAAACCCAAGTCTGTCTTCCTATCTAGCCGCTGGGTTCACCTCTCAAAGCCTCAGTTTCCATCTGTAAAATGAGGAGTGTGCTCACTCCCCGTGTCCAGTGCTTTGGAAAGCTCTCATACCCAATGGCTCCGGACATGTGTTAGCTCTCGTGACCTTGAAGAACCAGCAAGACTTCCGGGCTGTGGTGAGCACAGAATAGAGGGGGCTCTTTCCAAGCCTTTTCCTCGGTGAAATGCTGGCAAGAAGGGACTAAACCATTTTCTTCACCTGGGCTCTACAGCTTTTGCACATAACTGGACACAGTGTCTCCCCTGCACCCGGGGGGTGGTGTACACCTGGTAAAGATGACACTTTACTGCCAGCCTGCACACATGAAGGGAGTGAGATTTCTTCTAGGTGGCAAGAACGAAATGATTGAAACATGAGGTTTGAGTGTCAAACTGTGGAAAGAAAGGAATTCTGTCATTTTGAAGAGTATGGTCCTTTGATTTCTAGCTAGGGCAAATCAGCAGTCTGGGTCAGAGTTCCAGAAGCAAAGAAAGTTGGAGAGGAAGTTTCTCTGCTTTTCAGTTTTTATAATGGAGTCATGAATGAGGGAGACAGACCCCAGAGAGGACTTAGCCAACAGGGTGGGCTGAGCTCAGATTCTCCGCCAAACAGCACCCGTGCTTGGAAAGTTGTTCTAGGCAGCCCCAGATTTCAGCGGGGACTGTTTGTCACCTGCCTCAACGGAAACTTTCTTCAAGTTGCTGGTTGAGAGAAATTGTAAAACAATGGACTCCTGCCAGCATACTACAAGGGACTCTCGCAAACTTAAAGATGAAAAGGAATGAGCCCTGGCCGATTTGGCTCAGCAGTTAGAGTGACGGCCCACAGACCAGCGAGTCCCGGGTTCAGTTCCCACTAAGGGCACGTACCTCAGTTGTAGTTCTTACCCGGCCCCAGTTGGGGTCGTGCGGGTGGCAACCACTTGATGTATCTCTCTCACATCAATGTTTCTCTCTCTCTCTTCCTCCCTCTCTCCCTCCTGTTCTGTCTGAAAATAAATGCAAACATGTCCTCGGGTGAGGATAAAAAAAAAATTAAAAAGGAATGAAATCAGCAAATTCTACTCATTCCAAGAAGCAACCTTTCCTCCCTCCCTCCCCTTTCTCCTCCAGTGAGTGGCTTCTCGCTGATGATTGATAGGTGAGCCCTGTCATTGTGTTCTTTAAAGAACATCACCAATGCCTGATACAAGAGGACCCAAATGTAATTTAAAAATAGCCACAGCAGCCTGCAAGTTGAACTTGAGTCCAGAAATGACAAGTAGCAAATGGTATCTACTAGTATTCCTCAGAGACAGCTTTGGGTGCAGGGAGGGGAGCCGAGCCAGCCAGACAGGGTGAGCTCACTCAGGACCACGAGGAGATGGACAGGGTGCAACACTGCCAGCTCTCCGGCTGGTTATCACTGCTGACTGATTGTCCAGGATTCAAAAATATCACTGTGGAAGTCACAACCTTCCTCAGAGATGGGCCCTAAATGGCCACCAAGTGCCTGGAGTCCTGCCTGTGTACAAGGAGTACTATAAATGTGAACTGTGGACTCCCGTTTGTGTTGACAGAGTTCCTCATTTAAAAAAACCTAACACCTCTGTATGCTCCCACGCAAACCTCTGTCATTGCTAATCTCAGGGAAATGCCTTGTGAGTGTGGGCTCAAGTGCAGCGAACTGAGATGGTGCGGAAGGACCTTGGGTTCCCGTCTGCCGGCTGGCGCAGAGGCCCAGCAAATCCTCCCTGTTCTTGGCGAGGAGCTGTGTTCAGCCAAGCGTGGCTCTCCCAGTAGCAGGAAAGAGTCCCCAGATGGTCTTAAGACCTTCAGAGCGGGGCCTAGCCCTAGAAGTTCTTTCCCGAGGTCCACCTGGGTGCTCAGTCAGCACGTGCGGTGGTGAGTCTCTGCCCCCCAGGAACTGACCCTTCCTTGAGATGTACCACTCAGGTGAACTACAGGACACTGCAGAATGGCTAATAACAGCCAGCACGTGGTCATATACAGCCTGGTGCTGTTTTTGTCTGTTCTGTGGATCTTTCTAATTTACACCTTGAGTAGAATGTGAGATACTCAAGGGCTTGGACTCTAGCTTGGTTCAAGAAACATCTGTGGAGCACCTACTATCTGCCTGGCACTGTGCTGGGGAATGTGGGGTAGGGGTATAACTATGAATGGCAAGCACTGTGAGAATTTCAAAGGTTGTTAGCAGGGCAGATTGATGCATGAACTGCCAGGACATACAATGCGGTGCGGCGGGTACTAGGAAGAGGTACAGCGCAGAGTGACTAACTTCCTGAGCAAAGTCCCCTGCAGGCAGTGGCATCTGACTTTGATCTTGAATAGTCAGAAGGGTGTTCATTCCAAGGCTCAGAGAAGAGACTAGAAGGCAGTATCCC